TTTGCGAATCGAGCCAGCATGGGCTTGGTCGATAAGCTTAGCAAACCATGAGATATTCGTAGAGCATGATTTATTGGAGAAATCTTGCTCGGTATTACTCGTGCAGTATTGCCATGATATACTCGAATATTATCAAAAATCTGATGAGCGGGCCCGGTAAAGGGGTGTAACGGTGACGGGATTTGAAGGAAAGTGGTGTATCTACGGATTTGATACTTATGAGGTTGACGGAGTGTCAACATGAGTTGTGATCAAGACTTTGACTCGACTACGTGGAATTTAGCTCCTGAGAGCTACAGTATCATTGAATTGTTTCTGTTTATTTTTCCTATTCGAAATGTGAATTATTCAAATTTGATAGCTTTACTTACAATGTAATTGTTGTGACTACTTGGATTATGTGTTTACATGTGTAATTCTTGGCCTCACTAAGTATTGGCTCATCCCATTAGTTTGTTTTCCTTAACAGGAACCCGATTGGAAGGAGTTAAGCAAATGCCGACTTGAGGCACTTTTGTATTAGTGTTTTAATTGTAATCGACTAGACACTTTTGGATGTTGTATATTTTGGAGAAAGTGATTGTAAATTTGAAATTGTGATGTAAGACTGGATAGTTATGTATGGAAATGACTTCGTACCTTTATTCCGACTTTCATTGTTAGTATTAGATTAGGTTTGAATTGGATTTGTCTCGAGTCCTGGCGAGAGCTGGGCAGGCGTCCCGCAGATACCCTTGGGTTCACCCTTGGGAGAAGTGGGGGCGTAACAGTTGGTACCAGAGCTTAGATTTCAGATCTTTGTAGTGTATCCTAGGCTTGAAGTTTAGGATGCCGATCTGTGGGACTGATTTGAAAGTTAAGCGACCACTTGTAGGGATAAAAAAAAAAAAAAATCAGAGCCGTTTCGCATGGTATCTGCGCGGGGTGAGTTTGGGCCAAATGGTGTTATGGTCCTTATCATATGAATGAGTAAAGGGTTAAGTACTCTTTTAGAGCGTAAGCTGTGGATCATGAATGTGATAGGTATAAATCTTTTATCGTAATACTTGGGGAAGACTAGATATGTATGTTGGGTAGGAATCTCAAATATGGTGATTTACTCTTGGGACTGGCCAGCTCGAGATGTGAATTATCTTATTTCGGATTCTTGTACCCGAATGCTTAAGAGTTGAAGGCAATATTAAGGACTTGAGATCTCCATTTGCAGGGAAAAGAACGAATCGATATTTCACGTGAATAGTTACAGGAAACCAATAGTCGTTTGGCTAAGATGGCACAATAATTAAGAGAGAGAGGTAGAGAAAGATTGATGGATGGTCCTATGTAATTTAATAGGATCCTAATGCTTGATATGAGTCGAAAATGAACGAGAAGATCGGACCTACCAGTGTTATAAAGGATTGACTTAGTTGGGGGTGATGCTAGTGCCAAGGCCATAGCATTTTTTGTTCAACTGTGTGGCCTACTTTTGAGGCGCTTGACTTTACTTTAGTCGTGCATGACTAAAAATCCTTTTGTGGCACTTGTGTGCTATATTTTTGTAATACCCCCCTCCCCGACTTGCTAATTGTATGAATTTTAAAGTGTAAATACATGTTAATTACTGCTATCTCTGATGTTTTCAAGATCGGCTCTTGTTTTAAGAAATTCCTCGTGTGATCACTTTATTTCTTGCATTAGGCACCACTAGAACTATGGACGGACTAAGGAGTGGTCGAGGGACTAGACAGGCCCAATCTCATGGGGATGACCAGGGATCGGCAACTGGACCGACCCAGAGACAAGAAAATATTGAGGGTAATCAAGTGGCTACTGCCATCAATAGAATGACTGATATCCTAGAGCGCTTAGCTGAAAGACAGGGTCCAAGACCCCTTAGCTAGCTCGGGGGCCAGGATAGAGGAGAAGATAGGGCTTTGGAGAGGTTCCTGAAGTTTAACCCACCTAAGTTCACTGGAGAGCCCGACCCCGAGGCAACTGAGAACTGGTTAGAGAGAATGACTAATATATTCGCTGCTTTAGACTATACCGAAGATAGGCGAGTAAATTTTGCTGCTTTCCAATTTGAGGGAGTGGCACGTGCCTAGTGGGACTTGATAAATGGGAAGTGGGAAAGAGCGCAAACCCCTTGGATTTGGAAAAACTTCACGAGGGAATTTAATGAGAAATTTCTCCCACCTTTGATTCAAGATAAAAGGGAAGATGAATTTGTCAAGTTGAGGCAAGGAACTTCTAGTGTAGCTGAGTATGAAGGGAAATTTACTAAGCTTTCTAAGTATGCTCCAGAATTGGTGACTAATGAACGAAGGAGGATAAGACGTTTTGTACAAGGATTTAATGTGGAGATTCAGGAGGGTTTAGCAGTAGCCCAAATCTCTACGTTCACTGAAATCTTAGAAAAGGCACAGAGAGTCGAGAGTGCAAGGCTGCAAGTTAGAGACTTTCATGCTAAAAAAAGGGGTACTTCTAGTAACCCTTCGGGACAGGCAGATAAGAGTGCCCCATCTTTTAAAAAGGGAAAAGGAACGGGTGGAGTGGAGATATCTAGCACGCCAATAGGGACTCAATCAAGAGGAGATCGCAATGGACTAGGTCAATCGAGAGAGACACCTCCAAGTGGTCAATCTGTGGCTCCCCAAGTCGTTTGTGGTTATTGTGGCAAGCTCAACCATATGGAGAATGATTGTTTTAGGAAACAAGGGAAGTGCTTGTATTGTGGTAGTACCGAGCACCAGATATCGAAATGCCCGACCGTACCAGAAGAAGGAGGTAGTACCCAAAGGCCTGAAAAGTCAGCCGCTAAGCAGTCTAGTGTTGGAGGAAGTCGATCTAAAGTACCAGCTAGGGTTTATGCATTAGGCTATCAACACGTTTCCGATTCTACTAAAGTCATTGGAGGTATGATTCTTCCTTTTATTTGTCTATCTAAGGTTCTCAGTGACCCTAGTATAGTACACACTTTTTGCAAAACCCTAGATTCATAAGATAGAATTAAAGTTTGACTACTAATTGGGTAAATAGAAATTGTGAGATATGGATCGGAGAGTGTAAGTTAGTGATTGATTTGAAAGGCATGACTATTAAGGTGTATGACTATTATCCTAAGTGTGAATTTCGAGAACGAAATTCTTTTAAAGAGGGGAGAATGTGAGGATCTGAAAATTTTCTTATTTTTGTCAAATATTATTGGTTTATTTAAATAGTTATTCACTCTTTTTCTCCAAATTATTTAATTCGACTAATTAAAATCCATTTATATGGAAAAACGCCTCTTTTATGTTTTAAAAGCGTTTTGTTAGAAAATTTACTTTTCGAAAACTTGTTTAGTTCGGAACAACGAGTACACGTTTTTCGAGGCTATATTTGAATCGAGGGTGTATTAATTTTGGAGAAGTAGATATATATACTTTTGGCAGAATTTTGCTCTTAATTAGCATATGAGTTTTCGGGCTTTCTCTCCATTTTCGGGCTATCCTTTGCAACTCGGGCTTAGTAGGGTTTCATGGCGGCTCTCCAGCATGGGGAGGCGCCGCCCCTCTTTCGGCCTACGAAGACGTTCGCCTCCATTCTTTCTCAACCTCCTTCTTCTTCGTCCTCTGGCATTGGCCATCTCAGTACATACAAGGGTGAGCCATCGTTGGTGATATCCCGTCAAGATATGATACAGATAGCAGCACCTTACTCTAACGCACTGGTTGGCAGATTTGCAGTAGGCCGCCCTTCCATGGAGATTATTCGCAAATTTATCGTTTCTTTGGGGCTGAGGGGTGAGTGTCCGATAGGCTTATTAGATTCCAAGCACATTCTTTTACGTCCATCCGTGGAGGAAGATTACACCAGGCTTTGGTGTCGCAAGTCTTGGTACATTGGCAAGTTTCATATGTCCCTGTCGAAATGGACAATCGATTTTAAACCAGGAGCAGAGTCATCAATTGCACCAGTTTGGGTCAATTTTCCGGGTCTTCCATTGCCGTTTTTCGAAAAGCAATTTCTGCTTAAGCTGGGTAACTTACTTGGCCGACCCTTAAAAGTGGATGAAGCTACGGCTTCACTGAAACGTCCTTCTGTAGCCCGTATATTGTTGGAGGTCGATGTATTGCATTCTCCCAAATCCAGGATTTGGATTGGAGATGATCAGTGGGGTTTTTGGCAGAAAATTGAGTATGAAGAATATCCTTCTTATTGTGCTTTTTGCTCGTTGATTGGTCATACAGAAAATATCTGTCATACAAAACATCCGGAATTGCGGCCTGTGCGCCGTTCTAGACCATCAACTAAGCCTCACGTCAGACAAGTCTTTCAACCAAAGGGGGTAACTGCTGTTGATGAATCTCTTCCTGTTGTGGATTCTGGGATTGTAATAGTCCCGAGAGTAAAAGAGCATGAAAACAGTACTTCTGCAACAGATGTTTCTACTTCTGTTATTCCATCATCGTCTTCTAACCCTATTAGGGGTAATTCTCCTCAAGCTAATGTACCTGTTCATGATCCTGTTCTCCCAAATACAACTCTGGGGGTTGATGCAGATACGCAGAATGTTATCTCTGTAGTCACCCTTGTTCCCCCAGATTCTTCTTCTCCGATTAAAGCTTTATCGGACACAATCCCTACCTCTGCCCGGGATGACAATCTGTTGCCTATTCCGTCTGCGTCTTTAGTACCGCACCATGAGCGGAATTATTCTTCTCTCTCTCCTCGACGGCACCACGGTCATGTTCGACTGGTGCGGTCTAATTCCGATGGCCAATCAGGGGTGCAAGGTCTTTCCTTGGTTGATTTAAAAAATTTTCATGATCGGCTGCCCAGCAGAATCATAGCATCTAAGCTTTGCTGCGATCCGTTTGTTACTGGAGTATCTCTGGATGATACCGACACTCAATTACTGCAAAATTTGATCCAAGGTCGCAAGGGTCGTAGTAGACAGGCCAGGAAACGAGAAGGTATGACTTCATCTGCTCATTATAATCTTCGGTCTAATAATGTTAAATCCGATTAAGTTTATGGTGTGGAACATTCGTGGTGCTTCGAACAAGGAGTCATTACGGCATATTCGTCGCACTTGTAGATCAAACGATATTCGTTTACTGATTCTATTGGAGCCATTAGCCAATGTCTCTCATTTGGAGAGTGTGCAGCTGTTCTTGGGTTTTGATTTTGCTCGGTCCTTCGTGCACAACAAAATTTGGATATTCTGGTGTTCAGATGCTCGATATTCTTTTGTAGAAGCCTCGGATCAATTAGTTCATATACATTTGTCTTTCCCTTCTGGTTCTTCCATTATTATTTCGGCTGTCTATGCGAAGTGTAACAGAATTGGTAGGAGACGGTTATGAGAGGCTCTGGAGCAATTTTCCACATCTATTACTTTTCCATGGATTGCCGTAGGGGACTACAACGTTATTTCTTCTGCGGAGGAAAGGATTGGAGGATCAGCCCCGAATATTCGTGATTTGGAAGAATTCAACTCTGCTTTAAATCGGAGTGGTCTATTTCCAGTTCAGTTCGATGGGTCTGCTTACACATGGACAAATGGTCGCATGTGGCAGCGACTTGATCGAGCGGTCGTTAATAGCGTTTGGCTGTCTGATATTGAGATGACTCGAGTTGCTTATCTTCAGAGAGGGTGGTCTGACCATTGTCCGTTGCTGGTCAGGGGAGGAAGTACGGCAACACGACGGTCTTCCTTTCGATTTCTTAATGTCTGGCGAGGTCATTCCAGTTTTCAACAAACAGTAAGGTCTGCTTGGGCTCAGCCTGTTTCTGGAGTTGGAATGCAGAAATTCTTTAATAAATTGCAGGTGGTTAAAAGAGTTTTATCTAGATGGAATGTGGATGTATTTGGGAATGTCTCTCAAAGGGTCAAAGTGGCAGCGGATAATTTATTGGCCAAGGAAATTTTGTATGATCAAAATAGAGACACGTTGTCTAGGACGGCAGTTCATGAGGCAAGGGCAATTCATTCTCGGGAGCTAGCGTTGGAATGTGAATTCTGGAGACAAAAGGCAGCGATCAAATGGATCAAAGAGGGCGACGCTAATACCTCTTTTTTTCATGCAGCAGTTAAGCAGAAACGTAGCTCTAATTTTATTGCATGAATTAGGGGCAACGGGGACAGTTGGTTTGATAGTGTCGAGGATATTAAGCTGTCGGCGAGTGATTTTTTCTCCTCTTTGTTCACAGCAGACCGCGCTGTTTGCTCGGGCAGCAGACCGTCACTTGATCTGCCCAAGCTTACGCAAGAGGAAAACGACATGCTGCTGAAAACACCATCGGTAGAAGAAGTTTATACGGTAATATGTTCGTTTGACCCTCAGAGTTCTGCGGGGCCTGATGGTTTTGGAGGGGGTTTTTATCAAAGTTGTTGGGAGTGTATAAGGGACGACTTCATGGACGCGGTGAAGGATTTTTTCGCTGGTGCCACAATGCCCCGCGGATTTTCAAGTACAACGATCACATTACTGCCCAAAAAGGAAGGTGCATGTGAGTGGAAAGATTTCCGACCAATAAGCTTATCTAACGTTAGTTCAAAGATCATTTCTAAGATTTTGTCTACTCGCATTAATCAACTCCTTCCTAAGTTGATTTTAGAGTTTCAGACTGGCTTTATCCCGGGCAGGGGAATACAAGATAATGTTCTGCTAGCTCAGGAATTAATTATGGATTTGGACAAGAAACTGCGTCACCTTAACGTAATATTGAAATTGGATATGGAGAAGGCCTATGACAGGGTGGACTGGGGGTTTTTATTATACATGCTTCGTGAATTTGGCTTTAAAGAAGGTGTGGTAGATCTGATTTTTCGATTAATATCCAACGTTTGGTTTTTTGTCCTGGTTAATGGGGAGCTTACGAGCTTTTTCAAGTCGACTAGAGGGGTTCGTCAGGGGGATCCTTTATCTTCCACTCTTTTCCTTTTTGTCTCGGAATTTCTTGGAAGGGGCCTTCAGCAGCTGTTTACTAGCAATCCATGTTTTAAATTTTTGACTAAGGGAGGGTTGGTCCCGTTTCTTGCTTTTGCCGATGACGTGATTATTTTCACGCGGGCATCGTCTGAATGACTGCAGGCTGTGTCGTCCTTTCTACGAGAATATCAAACTCTTTCTGGCCAAAAAATTAATCTCTCCAAGAGTCGTTTCCTTTGTTCGTCGAAGCTTCATTCGGATGTTATCAACTTAATTCAGCAAGTAACGGGATTTCAAGGGCAGTCTTGGCCTGTCAAATATTTGGGAGTTCCACTTTCTCTTGGCCGTAGTAAAAGTGTCTTATTTGATGGAGTTATTGCTTCCGTTAGAGCAAAGCTTCATCATTGGAGTTCCCGGTTTCTTTCTGCTGGGGGGAAGCTCATCTTGCTTCGTCATGTGTTGAATTCAATGCCTCTTTACCTCTTGCAGGTTATTAAACCACCTAAGGGGATTTTTCTTAGATTGGGCAAGCTGTTTAATGCATTCTTGTGGGATGGCAAGGATGGTAGACGGATTCATTGGTCTTCCTGGGAGAAATTATGCTTTCCAGTCGAAGAAGGGGGGTTGGGATTTCGATCACTGTTGGACTTAGAGAAGGCTTTTGCAATGAAATTATGGTGAAGAATACGTCAAAAGAGTTCTCCTTGGGCCAGATTTATGCACCGTAAGTACATTGGCGAACAGCACCCATTCTTGGCTGCGGCTGCTGTTGGGTCGGCAACATAGAAGCGGGTCTGTTCGGTTCGGGCTATAACTGAAGACAATATTCGTTGGCGGCTTGGTGAGGGATTCATCGATTTGTGGCATGATCGATGGCTATTCAACAAACCTCTTAGCAGACAGTTTGCTGGTGTGCCTCCTCATTTTTTAGTAGCTGAGTTTTATACCTCTACGGGGTGGAATACTGAACGTCTCCTCCAAGTTCTTCCTCGATCTGTTGTTAATGTTATTTCACAAACACTTGTTGATCCGACCCTTAAGGATGAATTGGTTTGGGCTCCTTCAGCGGATGGTACATTCACTGTGTCGTCAGCCTGGGATTTAGTTAGACAGCGGCGTAACCTGTCATTGGTTTGGCGTGGAATTTGGTGTCCTTTGCTGCCTTTAAAAATGTCATACTTAGTTTGGAGGGTATTGGCTGATTTTCTTCCTCTGGACGACAAGCTTCGTTCTAGAGGAATTTCCATGGTTTCCAAATGTGATTGCTGTGGTAATGCAATGGAGTCTTTGAATCATTTTTTTTTACATGGCAGGTTAGCAAGTGCTGTTTGGCAGCACTTCTTTCTGGCTTGCGGAATTCCGTGGAGGTCATTCTCATGTGTTTCTTCGCTGCTAGTGGTGTGGTTTCAATCTTCTGGGAATGGGCGATTGGATCATGTTCGGTGTGTTATACCAGTTGTAGTGTTATGGTTTCTGTGGCGTAGTAGAAACGATGCTCGGTTTGGAAATATCCCCCCTGTCTATTCTAAAGTTATTTTTGATATCAATGGGTGGTTGGTTGCTATGGGGGCTGCATGCATGCTGAACAGATTTCAGTTGGAGGGGGATACGGATACGTATTTTGCACGTTACTTTCGGATCAAACCAGCTAAATCCTTATGTCCGAAGGCTATATCATGGATGAAGCCTCCTCGAGGGTCAATCAAACTTAACACCGATGCAAGTGTGTCAAATGGTTTGTCTAAAGGCGGTGGAGTGATACGAGATTTTGAAGGGAAGATGCTTGGTGCTTTTTATAAGGAATTCGGGGAATATGAGGTGGTACATGCGGAGGGCTTAGCATTGTTAACTGGTCTACAGTGGTGTGTTGGAACAGGGTTGTCAGATATTTTGGTGGAAGTGGATTCACTAGCGTTGGTACGGTTGGTTACTAGTCAATCTGTTGGTAAGTGGCCGTTGTGTAGCGTCTTAAGTCAAATTCGATTGTTACTATGCAAGGTGAAGGGGACCATTACACATATTTATCGTGAGGCGAATGCCGTGGCAGACAACTTAGCTGCTTTATCTCTGGAGAGTCCATATGTTACTTTCCAATCTCATCAGCAACTTCCAAGTAGAGCTCGGTCGTTGATTAATTTGGATGCAATAGGTTATCCATATATTCGCAACTTTAATGTTTAGGAATAGTACTCCTAGTTATCTGGCATGTATTGAAGGTTGGGACTTTTCCCTCCTTCGTATTTTTAGCGTTTGCAATTAATAAAAGTTGGGGAGTTTTTCCCTTCTGGAAAAAAAAAAAATTTTTTTGAAGAAGTAAGAATAATCAATAGTAGATTAAGAAAAATTAATTGGAGATTTGAGGAATTAAAACTCGACTTATGTTTGGTGTCCATTGCTGCCGTTAAAGATGTCTTACCTTGTTTGGAGGATTTTGGCTGGTTTTCTGCCGTTGGATGACAAGCTCTGTTCTAGAGGGTTTTCATTGGCTTCCAAGTGTGATTGTTGTGGTGATTCACAGGAGTCTTTGCATCATATTTTTGTGCAGGGCAACTTGGCAAGTGCTGTCTGGAAGCATTTCTTCCGCGCTTGCGGTATCCCGTGGACTTCATTCTCATGCGTTTCTTCGTTGCTAGTGGTGTGGTTTCAATCTTCTGGGAGTGGGCGTTTGGATCATGTTCGGTGTGTTATACCTGTTGTAGTGTTATGGTTTCTGTGGCGTAGTAGAAATGACGCTCGGTTTGGTAATGTTCCCTCGGCTTGCTTTAAAGTTATTTCAGACATCAATGGGTGGTTGGTTGCTCTGGGGGCTGCGCGTATGTTGAAAAGGTCTCAGTTGGAGGGGGATACGGATACCTACTTTGCACGGTATTTTCAGCTCAAACCACATAAATCTTTCTGTCCGCAAGCTATATCTTGGAGGAAGCCTCCTCGAGGGGCAGTCAAGCTGAACACCGACGCAAGTGTGTCAAATGGGTTGGCGAAAGGCGGAGGAGTGGTACGGGATTTTGAAGGGAAGATGCTTGGTGCTTTTTATAAGGAGTTTGGGGAATGTGAGGTGGTACATGCGGAAGGGTTAGCGTTGTTAACTGGTCTACAGTGGTGTGTTGGGACAGGGTTGTCAGATATTTTAGTAGAGGTAGATTCTCTAGTGTTGGCCCGGCTGGTTACTAGTCAATCGATTGGTAAGTGGCCGTTGTGTAGCATTTTAAGCCAGATTCGGTTGTTGTTAGGTAAGGTGCAGGGGACCATTACGCATATCTATCGTGAGGCGAATGCTGTGGCAGACAGCCTAGCGGCTTTATCTTTGGAGAGTCCATTTGTTACTTTCCAATCTCATCATCTGCTTCCAAGTAGGGCTCGGTCGTTGATTAACTTGGATGCAATGGGCTATCCATATATTCGAAACGTTAGTTGTTAGGTATTTTCTTATTTTTCTGGCATGTATTGAAGGGAGGGTTTGCTTCCTTCGTCGTATGATTTTGTTGCTGTTGAATAAAATTTGGGGGGTTCTCCCCTTTTATTAAAAAAAAAAAAAAAAAAAAACTCGACTTATGTGAAGACTCGCAAAATTTTCTATTTTAAGCCCGTATTACTAGCTTATTTCAATATTTAATTGCCCGTTTGCCTCGAATATTTTATTTCAACCTCTTCATACTCAATTACATGGAACTATGACTTACTTAAATTTTTAAAATGACTCGTTTCAAAATTTAATTTTTGAAAGCTCGTAAAGTGAGAATAGTGAATACGCGATTGGAAATAATAATCGATTCGAGAATACAATAAGTTTGAAAAATTGGAGACTTGTACATTAATCTTGAAATAAGTATTTTTATGTTTAAGTGTTCAATTATTAGTTAGTGATACTATCGTTATAAGGATTTATTGGAATTTCCAATTTATCGCGCATAAATCGGAAGTACACGTTTTTACGCGCGCGATTAATTGAGGGACTTAAGACCATCATTTTTAGACCATTAAGAGTGAATAATAATAGTATGAATACAAGTGCATTAGAGGTTTAGAGCACAAGGGAAACAAACTCGAGAGGAATCAAGCACGAAACGCGCGCGTACGCGCACTATCCTTAGTTGACTTTTAGAGCAATTTTGGCCACACATTCTTAAGCTTCTCATGGAAGCATCACACCAGATCAAAACCCTTCTTTTCTCACCTCAAGTGCAGGGCTGAAACTCTCATTTTCTCACCTCAAGAGCCGGCCAAAACAAGAAAGAAAAGAAAGGAAAGAAAACTCTTCATTTTTACCTCAAATCTTACTCCAAATCACCTCAAACTTTAACCACACTTTGCAATCTACTTGGAGAGCAACTCAAGCTGCAAAAGAGCTTCAAATCCACGGTTTTTCTTGAGCTAAGGAGGACCGAAATTTCTGCCTTGAACATCTAGGAAAGTAGGTGATGATCAACCTTGAAAATCTTGATTTATGGAAGTTCTATTGCACATATAAGCTCATGCATGCATGTGGGTACCTTTATTTATGTTGGATTTTGGTGTGTGGGCTCTATGAATTCCCACTATGGTTGGATGGACTGATTTGATGAATTGTGGTGTTATTAATGTTGGTTTAGTGCTTAATTTAGTGGAATAATATTGTGTTGTTGGTGGAAACTGAAAGGGGAGTGAAGGTGAAAATTTTTCATTTCTGCCCCTGTGTTGTCCGTGACCTTTAGAGTGATTTTCCGTGGTTCTAATGACTTGGTTATGATGTATATATGTTGTGTAGAATGTTTCATCAAAAAATAAAGTGATTTGGTTGGCCAAATGATGTGTTTTCGGAAATCAGCAAAACTGGAAATTTTTCCAGTAACTGCTCCGGCAGTGTTCTTGTTTTGGCTATAACGTTTTGCTCCGATGTCGAAATCGAGTGCCATTTGTGGCACTGGAAACTGGACATTCCCATCTTTCCAACGGTATAAAATGCATGTCCTGGTACTAATTGAGTCATCCATACCAATCATTTGAACATGACTGTCCTGTTTCGCGTCTACACTGGGAGCTTTGTTTTGAGCAGCAAATTGGTGCTCAAATATGAGCTAGCCGTGGATAGATTTTGGAAAACGTTTCTTCTAAGAAATTGTAGCTTTGAGAATCTAGTTTTCAACACCACCAACCACACTCATTCCGAGCTGAATTGAGTGATTGATGACCAGATTTCGAAACTGACTTTGTGGGAGAAAACCCTCACGTTGGACAGATTTGTAACCAATCTTGATTTGAGACTTTCTATTCGAAATTCTTGGTGTAAATCACCAACCAAATGTATCTTGGATCCTTATTAGACCTGGTTATCATAAATGAGACATGTTTTAGGCATTTTATTGGCCAAAGCTTTGAGAAAAAGAAAACTAGAGGTGAAAGGCAGCTTTGCCTTGAAGATTTGGAAAACTTTGATGGTTTTGTTAACCAACTTTCTGAATGAATTTTCCTATGAAATTTAGTAGAGGAATAGCCCTTATATGGTAGGATAATACTACCAAACTTGGTGCCATTTCGAGTCCATTTCGATGTTCAACTAACGTCCCAAAGTTAGCGATTTAAATCTGGAAAATTGACCCAACGGTCTCATTTTTCTGCAACTTTGAGCCGCCATATCTTGGTACTCAGAACTCCAATTTTTGTTCCGCTTGTTTTGTTTCAAACTTTGATTGTAACTCTAATTGTGTTTCAAATCTGAGAGGCTAGTTCAAATTCTGTGAATTTTACCGAATTTCCAAAGTTGGCGAAAAACCAACCTCAAAACTGTCTCGCAAGCCTAAAACAGTAACTTTGAGCCAATTTTTGAATCCTTTCCGTTGGGAATCATGGAAAAGTGTTTTCTAGGAACTTTTAGTACTTTGGAAGTAGTTTCCAACGGCACTAAGTTTTCCAATTTTGGACTTATAGAGAATGAGATACGATTTTTCAAAGTATGGGTGACAAATCTGAAATTTCCGAACTTAAAGGAAATTGAGAGTTGCGAACTCTCTATTTTCCTTCGATATTGCTAAACCGTTTTACACTTGATTTCAAAGATGAAAATCAGATTTTTCTTGTGTTTTAAAACCCCATTTTTGAGTCTCGATTTACTAGTAATTAAGGCTCTTTTTCGTGAATTTTTTTTTTTAGATTGTACAAGTGTGCAATCTTCCTCGATAATTAGGGGTTTTAAGCGATAGTGCGTAATAGATAAATATTGTTTGCTCAGGTGCTCAAGGAGACCTTCACGAGGATCTCGAGGGGAACACCTAAGGGCTTGTTTACGCACTCACTCTCTTATTTTGATTGGTGAGTGTCAAGTGCATGAATTTATTGCTAAGTTGTTAACTGTTCTTATCCATTATATGAATTTGAACTTTGATAGACGAGTGTGTACTTTACCACACTCATCTTTTTTTCAAATGAAATTATATTTGAATTTTGCTATGTGAATTCATATCCGACTTGTACTTAGTAATGTGGTTATGATTCTTATATGTGATTTGTATTTGTGATTCCTATCTGGAATCGTTGATTTGAGCGTTGCTCATCGACTTATATTCATATTTGTATTCGTATTCATATTCGGGGGACGCCCAAACTCGTTGGTTAACTTTGCGAATCTAGCCAGCATGGGCTTGGTCGATAAGCTTAGCAAACCATGAGATATTCGTTGAGCATGATCTATTGGAGAGATCTTGCTCGGCATTACTCGTTGTTGATCTTGATCCCTATCTTTTGATGTTTACAAAACAAATGGATGTTACTAATGTCTCTTAAAAGATCTATTCAGTTATGAAGCAAATTAGTTCCAAAGATCAAGTACAATTGAAAGATGACTAAGTATGCTGAAACTGTCGGACGCTCAAATAGTCAGGATCGGACGTCCGAAAGGATGAAGAACATCAAGAAGGAAACTCTGTCGGACGTTCGTAAGGAAGCATCGGACGTCCTGAAGGATCGGACGCATGCTTCGGACGCACATCAATCTCATCGGACGTCCTAAAAATTCCACGAAGATTTGATAACTCTCTGGACGACGTTCGGACACTGAAGCTCGGACGATAAAATCCCATCGGACGTCCGAACGACAACTTGGCTGATTTTCGGACGATGGGATCGGACGGTGATTAATCTGTCGGACGTCCGACGTCCCCAACGGCTAGTTGACTGTTCAGCTACTTTCTATCCGTTGGATGCTTTAA